TATGTTTCTTCTGGGAAAATTCTGGCATTGGCTGTATACCTAATTTTGCAACCTTAACTCTAGTGTAGCAATTTAAATGCACACAGACATAGAGATCTTTTTAATGCCCAAACTGAAAAATAAGTAAATAAATATATTTCAACTCATCCAATATAACTGACTTTCAATCTGTACAGCAGGACCAAATTCTTGGGAGAACAAAGGTGAGTCTTCCTTGAGTTCGTGCAGATGTTGGCAACAGGAATAGCTGTTCCTAAAAGCAACCAGCCAGTAATTTGCTGGTACATTTCACAGCCATTTGCTTATACCAGAAGAAATTTGAGCTTCAGGCATCATGGATTCTGCAGGGGACTGTGAACAAATCCCTTCTTCGGAATGTAGTCCTCCTATTTCTTCCTCTTCCACCTCCTTGAATCTTCCCCACCTCCTTGAATCCTTCTTATCTGCCTTCAACTCTACACCTTTGTACTGAAGTCTTTTTTAATCCCAGTTTTCTATGTTACTGCAGCAACATTAGCAGGGCATTGAGAAAATCAGAGAGCCTGTCTTTGTGCTCCATTTAAGTAACTAGACTGAATAAGAAAAGACCCTCCCAGTCTGCAAGCCTGACAAGGTCAGTGCTGAGCTGGCTGTGATGACAATGCATGCACAGTCGCCTCTATCACTGCAGAAGGGCCCTGGGGTGGGGCAAGCACTGCAAGTGGTCCAGGCTCCTCCAAGACATTATCTCAGAGACCCCCTCGAACACCAGTCAGTTTATAATAGCTCAATCAAAATGACACCACATCTCTTGAAACATTAACAAACCTATTTCTGATAAGGTTTGTTCCCTGATTCTAGGAAACACCCTTTCCCATCCACCAGAAAGTCCCTGTTCCACAGTAAAAACTGCTTGGTGTTCCCTGACTTTTTTCAAGCACAAACTGACACATAAATTTTTCAAATTGTAAGGTATCTGAATTGACAAAGTTTTCAATGACTCAAACCAGATTCTCCCAGACAAAGGTTTTGGCAGCTACAAGCCCTGCCTACAATTCTAGGTATAGAGGAAATACATTAAAGTATTGAGCACAATGTCTTAGCAGCATGGCTGCAGGGCAATTCAGTCTGATAGTAACAGTGAGGCCATAACCAAGTAGACAATACATATAACAGCTCAGATGAACTCCAGTAAAACCTTTATGCCCTACCACAACATCATTCGTTTTCTTTTTGCTAGATGTGTCAGAGATGAATGCTGTCTAAGGCATTTGGAATTCATAACTAGAAGCTTCAGAGATGGCTTTCAAAGTTCAAAGCTGTGTGATAATTTTATCAGATGGTTCAAAAATTTTTACAAAATATGGATATGCCTTTTTTGCATATGTGCAGGAAAGATTCCTCTTGCCCACCAGACATAAACTTTCTCTCCTGCTACTACTAAACACTGGGCATGAAATACTTTGGTTGGTTAACAAGAAAGAGAAATACCATTACAAAATTTAAAGACTAAACAAAATGCAGCATTTCATAAGAGCAAGCGAAATTATCATTTTGCCTTCATCTTTTATCAAAGTTAAGAGTTGTGATTGTGGCACTAAATAAAGATGGCTAAATCAAACAGAACAGGTAGCAGATACAACTATTTGTTATTTAGCCAGATGATAATTCAAGCAGTATTTAGTTTACCAGTAAATTTTTGTTATGTCTCTTACACTGGAAAATATTTCACAAAATCATAAAGAGTGGAACTGCATAAACAGGGGCAGCTTTATCCTGTCCCCTTGTTTATAACTATCCTGTTATCATATTAGCTTTCCTGTTACAAAAAATTGCTGTACACTTACATCACAGAGGGCAAGTATAAACAAGCTTTAAAGCAAAAATGTTTTGTGGGAATTTATGTATTCCCTTCTTAACTGAAATATTTTAACTGCTGTAGCATAGCACAATATATTGTAGAGCCCCTATTAAGCATCAACAAAATTGCTTTGCTACAGTAATATGCGAGCAAATAGAATTCAAGAGAAGTAATCTTATTTTTATCTAATTCTAGTAATTTGATTTTATCAGACCTTAGCTATAGCTGTGGAAATCACAGCTGTAATGCTAAAGCATTCTACTTCACAAGCCAGCATAAATTCAAGTACTTCAGACACTTCTTTTATATTTTTTAGATCAGTACGAATATACAGGGGGGGAAAAGAAAAGGTGGCAAAAATGTATCCTGATTAAGCTACCACTTTGTGTGTGTACACTCACAAGCACACCTATAGCCTTCAGGATTTTTGAATATACAGAACAATTGCTTTCCTCCTGTATGCATAAGATAACAGAAAGAACATGGCTCCTCCTGTCCTGAGGTATGCACCACTCTCTTGCTACAGACATTCAATTCCATTTATTTTTATTCCAGGAAAACCACCACTAATTCAGTTAGCCTGTCTTTAAAAGTAACCCTTCACTCTTCCTCATACAGACACTGTAAGGGAAATCCTTATGAATGCCAGCGTGTTTTTCCCATCAGAAAAGACATATCTAGCCCTAACATCAGGACAACATAACGTGTAAAGGTTTTACTGAAGCAAGAATCTGGCTATTGAGAATTGGCTACACAAACAACAAACAGCAAATGACGGAGTCCACCTACCTGATTCAGATAGTTGCAAACTCCTGGTTTCCCAGAGCACAGCACACCACACACTGCATGTGAATCTGCTCACTCACATACCTGAAAGGTCCATATCAACACCTAATGTGGAACTGAAAAATGTGGCTTTTCAGGAGTTGTAAAGGAACAGAAAAGCTCTTTCTAGGCCAGTTATTTAGGTAATCCAGTCTGCAAAAGCCATGAGGTCTTTGAGACAGGAGGGATGAAACTGCCACCATGAAAATGACTATGCTTTTCATTTACATATCAGCTATTTTATAGCACCTTATAAAGGTCAGAAATAATTTCAAAGCCTTGCAGAACTTCCAAAGTGAGGGCTCTTTTTGCTGAAAGATAGAAGGGGAAGCAAGCCAACTGATGGTTTTTGCATGCGTGTTTTTAAAAAAATTTGCAGTACTTTCAAGGAACAAATTTCAAGGAACTTGAAGGAACTTGAAGAGAAAATTGCTGGATCCATTTTATAGAGATGAGGCAGTTTCTTCATGGTGTGATAACAGGTCATATCAGAACTGGGCAAAGAACAGACATTTGATTTCTAGCCTCTGCAGTACTGCATAGCATCATCTACTTAATTACAAAATATATTTATATGTATTTAACCAATTAGTAACATCACAGGTGTTTTGAACCTTCATGGTGAATCATAAAAGCACTCTCATCCTACGAAAGTACTTTGAAAGTAAGCATCAGTAGTTATCAGATGCATTTACCTCTAGAAGGCAGCAGCAATCTTACATATGGCATATGTTTCATTAGGTTATATTTTTGATTTACAATACCAGAAAGGGGTCTGATATTCTGAAATATGCCAGACAATACCCACCACAATACACTACTCTAGAGAAAGTGTTGTCAATTAGAAATATATTCCAATTATCAAAGCTAAGCAATTTCTTAGACTAAAAGGATTCTGAGCAATTTCATGATGCAGGAAAAGGTATTTAATGTAACAGAAAATTTAAACTGGCAATTGAGGAGTCACATAGTAAATTAAAAGATTTCACTGTCCACTTCAAAAATAATAATCATGCAATGGATACAGTAAACCAAAGATCTGCGTGCCTCAGCATATAGAGGTCTGGGTTTGTCATGAAAAATCCTCTGGGTCCATATATTCTGGGGTTTTTTGTAAGCAGAACCTCAAAACAGCAGTGCTCAGATTTAAACTGGATTTTGAGAGGGCTCTTTTTCCTGTGGCAGGCAGTCAGAAATCCTGCTGACGGTCCAATTTACAAGAAAGAGATGATGTCATTTTGATAAAGCATTCTTCTAGTTTCACATAACCAAATTTTCAGACAAATTCAGACTTTCTGATTTCTGTGAAATATCCAAAAAGATCAAGATCCCAAAGAATGCACGGAAATAGGCAGGAAATGAAAGCACAGGATTTATCAAGTTTGTATTTTAACATTAAGCCTGTGAGTGTGTATATATTCCGCTGTGCTCAGGAAACTACCTGCATATTGCATATAGTGAAGTCCCTTGATCCCTATAAGTATAAAATAATAGGATTGAAAATCACATCAACAGACAAAATGTTGCAAGTAAAAGACAGTATTTATTTGTTTAGTTTAAAACATTACTACATTGATAGAACAATAATTTAAAAGGAAGACCATAGTATATTCATTCAAAACTAGGCTGTTAAGCATATAGATTTAAATTCTAATTTTTCAAACACAAAATGAAAGAAACTTGCATTTTACAAATAGCTATTTTAACAGATCTTATGAAAAACATGTTGAAAAATAATGCCAAAATCTGCCTCTTTAAATATACAAAACACCCTTGCTGTGCTGAAGGTATCTTCCTTAAAAGCCAAAAATATCTAAACCAACAGCCGAGCCCACATCAAACCCTACTGAAAGCAGTAGTAACATAAAAGTGTAAAAGCACTGTACAAAGTAAGTACAGCTTTTGTCTTAATACTGTACATACTCATATTTATTCTAAATGTTTTATTAAAACTGCTGTTACTGAACTTAACATCCTTTCCTGCCTGCAGAAAAAAAATTCGCTACTGATATCTCTGCTTACTAAAATGTCTCCTTTTTTGAATGTGAATTTTCTCTCACAATTCAAAAGGAATTTTATCACATATTTCAATGAGAACAGGAGTGAATGTTTTCTTCAGCATATTACTGTGTAATCCTCTTACTCTCACTTGGTTTCCCCCTTAGTTTCATAACCAAAACATTATAAAATTTTAATACATTAGCTGAAGAAATCAGAACTCAAGAACTTCAGTTTACAAGGTGGATCTACAGATTAGGTCACTGTAAAACAGTGTTCAACTAAACTGAAACTAATTGCAAATAACACTGCATGCTTTAATTACATCCCCTTAACCAACATCCCTCTCCCTCTCTTGCTTTCTTCATAGCCCCTTCTGGCATTCCTTCTGGAATGAGCTTTTTAAGAAAGTGCGGTATCCCGGATCATCCACATACTCATTCTTAAAGCGGGAACTCAATACTCTCTGCCTCTTCTCTCCCAAGATAATGTCTGCTCCATAAAATGTGTCTTCAAATCTCATGTCAGAGGCTGTAGACTAAAACCAGACATAAACTACACATACAGCTTCATACAGCCCATCATATTCTGACAAGTTACATGGAAACATAGATACATTTGGATAGACCATATGAAGCTAGCTAGACTGCTATTATGCAGTTACAACTGTTTTCAGGAAGATGCCCAAATATTAAATATATATTTTAAATGTAGATTTAAAACATAATTTTCACTTTTCTGTATTTTGGATATACTACTGACCATTTAATTCTCTAGGTCTGCAGTGCTCCTTAGAAACATCTAACACTAGTTATTCAGAAAAGTTTGAAATGCAAGGTAATACAGCACAGATCTCTGAAAAGAAACTTTCACAATGCCTAATTTGCAAAGAATCAGAGTCACAATTTTGGTTGTCTTTCAGCAAACTTATCCCATTTGGGAATCAACTGAAACCAAGCAGCAGGACAGCAAACAGCAAGCCAGCTGGGAAAAAGCAGCAGCAGAAATTTCTGGACCAACTTTCACTACTGAGTCATGGTAAAATTCCCAGGACTAGGAATAGCATCATTTGTAACGAATTGGTGTCATTTATTTCAAGACATGGGAACGGTATCACAAGCTGTCTTTAACTTGCACAGTTTTCAGCATGAGGAGGGAAGGAGGTGCTGGCCATAGCCAGTAGGTTTAAGCTCTGTATTTATAGAATTTGAGGTAATAGTAGAAAACCATGTAAAGGTCTGAGTACAGGCTGTGGCTTGTTTTATTTAGTTGACCAAATTCAATGTTTTTAACCTGTACTTAATCCTCCAGTGAAGTCAGTTGTGTCAAATGCAAAAAAAAAAATACATAATGTCGATAAAAACTCCATTTTAAAAAGAGTAGCATAAACCCAACTATATTTGTATTGTTATCCTTAGTGAAATGCAAGCTGGCATTCTACAGAATCTGCAAATAATTATAAATGATTTTTACACATAGTCTCCAAAAAAAATAAATAAAAAAAATAGTGGAATACTTTCCAAGTACAATGAAAAATCCAATTGAATATAAACAACCAGATGGTTTATTTAACACTTTCCAAGACATCTATCTTAACCCTAGATTGTCAGGACACTGAAAGATGTGTGCATTAATGCCAAATACACTGAAAAAAAGGTATCTTAGCGAAGAATATTTGACCACTGCACTTCCCATTAGAAAGAGCTGTCCTAATCATATTCTGTTCCTTCAGTAAAACAGGGTATCCTGTCAGTAAACACTCCCTCAGCAGGCTGACAGCCTCATTTCTCTGCCTATCTTTCCCAGCTTTACCTCCCCTTTCATAAATGATTACAATCCTTTCCTTTGATAAACTCCTAGATTCTGAAATATAAGGCATCTATTTTTGGATTGGCTGCTGAGAACTGGATGAAAGGAAATTATGATAATAACAATGATGGCAGCTGCACATGGCAAGAAGCACAGAAAGGGAAAGTCAGTGTGGAACCCTCTTCAGCTGCCTCAGTTTGTAATGTGATGTATTACATCATACAATCTGACAGATGCCTGCAGAATCAACTTTGCACATCATTCCCCTACAACTCCTTGCACCCAGCTTCCAAGAATCAGCTAATTAATGTCACATAATGAATGTGTGAATTCCACCTCCCTGCAGCAATGAAAAATATACTGTACACTGCTCTCCCTTCAAAGCTTCACTGCAGTGAAGCAACGCAATTTTGAACAAACAGCTCTACATGAGAAGAACATGTTGCTCTTTCTGAGTAGGTGGATTGAATTGTACAACATTTAGCATTAATGACAAGGACAGCAGTTGTCCTGTCTCCCCCAACAACTGGATGGCAGACCTTTTCCCTTTTCAGTCTTTAAGTGTTCTGCTTCTATGAACCTCAACACTTTTCCACATGGCAGGCATACAAATGACTAGCTTGTGGATATTCTTTGAAACTGCAGGAAACAAAAAATCCAGTGACACTGATGAGTTCTGATCAGGCACTTTGTTTCTTAGAACAAGTTAATCGCATTTTTATTAAATTCAAGTCTTTTAAAAGCATTGCATTTAAAAGCTCTGAAAACTTGGGAAGTTTTTTAAAAAGTATACATGTTATAAGCATACTGAAAGAACAGAATGTCTGTCAATTTAAATATTTACTAATGTGATAATTCATGGTCTGACAGCTGATCGAACAAGATGTCCCTTTTAGGAGAAAATAATTATGTCTGACAACAGCATTTGCCTGTACTAGAAGAACAACTAACCACTAGCAAATGGACACTTGTGCTAATTGTTATGTTGACTAAGAGAGTCATGTTAGTACAGGCTTCACAAAACATTTGTCCAATTTAAACTGAAAATCTAGAATATAGCCAAGAATAATGTTACTGGCATTTCAAGCATATACATACTATGAGCAAATACTCACGAAACGTGCTTTTACTCTCTTAGGGAGCTCTTCATCTAGTGTATAGATCTCCTCTCTCTTCATTACTATTTGAGAGCCATCTTCAAACTCAACCTAATTGGAAAAATGCGTATTTGAATATAAAATCATAATTTAACTCTTGCAGGAAGTTTCTGGGAATGTCTCCAGACAAAAATATATGTGCAAATACAAAAGATTTGTATTTTGCTATCTACTTCTGGAAGCTAAAATGAGGTTAAAACATAAAAAAATGTTATTTCTTAGGAAATGCAACACATGCAGAAGTTGAAACTGGTTTCTAAGCAGAGACTTCAAAATCATCAGTGACACATACACGACAAAGTAAAATTTACTAGATTAGGAATGCTGAGCAGTAACAATACAGACACCATTTTGTGGGAATGACATATTGAAATGTCTTCATGTCATTTTTACTCACCTCTAATCTTTTTTTTTATTTTTTTTTACTTGCTTCTAACAAATAAATAATTAATTTTAACATTCTGTGATTCAAGGTTGAGGAAGACCATATCAAGAGAAAGTATGAGTGACAACTAAGGAAATACCAGTTAACAGAATTCTATTGAATCTGATGGAATTTCTTTAAAATGCTCTGTTCAGAAGATGAAAAGCTTTATCATGCTTAGGTTTAGATTTAATCCAACATGAACCCCGTTAGCAGAAAATGAGAAAGGAAATGTAACTAGGTGTGGAGAATGTTAAAATGCTTGGGTTTTGAAGCATTTAAACCTTTTCAGTTGCTGCTGTTTCTTTTTAAATACTTCATCTAACAATTGTGAATTTCAGCTATTATCTATGACGGCAGTTTTAGTTCCCACAGAAAATGCACTTAAGTATAAAGTTCAGTATAAAACTAAAAGAAGTCCCATTCCAAATCTAGGTGACTTAATAAAAACACATGAATGACAACAGTCTTAGGGGGGGAAGAATAAGCCCAAATTCAAACATAGGAAAATATCAACTTATTGGAAGTATCATTATAGATAAAACTGAAAAAAAAAATACGTATTTGAACTTGTAAATGCACTGGGTTTTGAAGATTCAAATTAAAACTTTGCCACAACTGAGTATGTCACATCAATTGTTAACAGATGAAAAATCTAAGTATATTTATTCTCAAAAGCCAGGGTATAGATCTATGAATTACTAACTTCTTTAAAAGCAATTTTTTAACAGCAAATAATAAGAAGCACATATCTGGAATGCCTTTCAAATCCACAGAACACAGATGGATAACAAAGTCACAAAAGTCATTACTTGCTCATTTTTGCTCCTCTTACTAACTCCATAAGCCTAGTCTGTTAGCAGTATGCTAGAGGAATTTAAAGGTCAATTTGGCTTAAGCTTGTTTAATAAAATTATGACAATTTAGGTATTTCTCATCAGGATACAGGAGCAGTCTTTCTGCTATTCCCCCGCCTTACTGTACAATCTATTTGGTAATATGTTTTTGCATGATACTGTTGGTAATAATGTTTTTTGTATCACTGGTGAAAGAACCAGGGAGGAAATGAACTCTGCCAGTTCCATGTGATCAGAAAATCACCTCCTGAATGGGCAATGTTTTTATTTTCAGTGTGCAGCAGGAGTAACTGCTTCATACCACAAAATCAGGTACGCCTCCATTATGAAATATATTGAATACTTACAATGAAGAGTAACTGGAAGTTCTTCAGCTATAATTCAGCATACCACACTGGAAATTAATTGCCTACCGTTAAATGCAAACACAAGAACTCCTCTAAGACTTCAAATAGTACCATGATCCAAGCAAAATATAAACCTACCACCTCTAATAGTTCCAATTTAATTCAGACTCCAGATACTATATTTCAAATCTTCAATTTTTACCCAGCAAGTTATTTTATTTGGACTTCTGTTCCTGCACCTTGTTTGTTTAGTATGTTATCTCCATGAGATTTTATCAGGACATCATAAATTAAAAGGTCAGCTGACATTATTAGGAAGCAGTTAATAAAGTGAATGGGTAATTCAAGAATCTCAAAAGAAACTCAAAAAGTTATACTGAATGTCAATATAAAAAATGATAAAGAAATCAAACACAGATTGCATTAACAATTTCACTTAAACATCTGCTTCATTTGGTAGGTATAACACTGCTTAGGGATTGTATAGGATCCTGGGTGGTAAATGTCAAATGGTGACACAAATTCTGGTGCATTGTGTCATAGCTCCTGCAAGCACTAGTACAGTTGCAGTCAATACAAATGTCTCGTGAACATGAGGAAAATTCACAGATTCATCCAAGCAAAACAGATTTGCCTTATTAGATCATAATACTCATTTCACAGTCCTTTTCAGTCTCTCCTTTTGTTTTGCCATCTAAGAGATCACACAAAAGGCTTTGTAAGAGAATCTCAGAGGTGAAACAGAGATCTCACAAGCCAGAAGAATTGAGTATATGTATGCACAAATACTGGGAGCTTTCAGATTGGCTGTGTAGGAAGACTGGAGGAAGAACTAGAAATGCGTGCTGCAGTTCCTCCATCATATTTGAAAAACTACGGCAGTCAAGTGAAGTTCCCAGCGACTGGAAAAAGGGAAATATAACCCCCATTTTCAAGAAAAGGAAAATGGATGACCCAGGGAATTACAGACGAGTCAGTCTCACCTCTGTGCCTGGCAAAATCTTGGAGCAGATTCTCCTGGAAGGCATGCTAAGGCACAGGAAAAACAACAAGGTGCTTGGTGACAGCCAGCATGGCTTCACTAAGGGGAAATCCTGCCTGACCAATTTGGTGGCCTTCTATGATGGGGCTACAGAACTGATGGACAGGGGTAGAGCAGTTGATGTCATCTACCTGGACTTGTGCAAAGCGTTTGACACTGTCCCACACGACATCCTTGTCTCTAAATTGGAGAGACATCAATTTGATAGGTGGAGCACTCGGTGGATAAAGAACTGGCTGGATGGCCGCACACAAAGAGTTGTGGTCAATGGCTCAATGTCCAGCTGGAGACCAGTAACGAGTGGCGTCCCTCGGGGATTGGTGTTGGGACCGGTCTTGTTCAACATCTCTGTCGCTGACATGGACAGTGGGATTGAGTGTGCCCTCAACAAGTTTGCCAGTGACACCAAGCTGTGTGGTTCGGTTGATACACTGGAGGGAAGGAATGCTATCCAGAGGGACCTTGACACGCTTGTGAGCTGGGCTGATGCCAACCTCATGAAGTTTAACCATGACAAGTGCAAGGTCCTGCACCTGGGTCGGCACAACTACAGGCAGGGCAGAGAAGAGATTCAGAGCAGGACTGCAGAGAAGGACTTGGCGGTTGGTCAATGATAAAACTCAACATGAGCTGGCTTCAGTGTGCACTCGCAGCCCAGAAAGCCAACCGTACCTTGGGGTGCATCAAAAGGAGCCTGACCAGCAGGTCAAAGGAGGTGATCCACAATACTCTGGAGTATTGTGTGCAGTTCTGGTGTCCTCAACATAAAAAGGACATGGAACTGTTGGAACAAGTCCAGAGGAGGCCCACGAGGATGATCAGGGGACTGGAGCACCTCCTGTATGAAGACAGGCTGAGGAAGTTGGGGCTGTTCCGCCTGGAGAAAGCTCATAGCAGCCTTCCAGTATCTGAAGAGGGCCTACAAGGATGCTGGGACTGTAGTGATAGGAAAACAGGTAATGGGTTAAAACTTAAACAGGGAAAGATCAGGTTAGTTATAAGGAAGAAGTTCTTTACTGTTAGGGTGGTGAGGCACTGGAATGGGTTGACCAGGGAAGTTGTGAATGCTCCATCCCTGGCAGTGTTCAAGGCCAGGTTGGACAGAGCCTTGGGTGAGATGGTTTAATGTGAGGTGTCCCTGCCCATGGCATGGAGGGTTGGATCTTGATGATCTTAAGGTCCTTTCCAACCCTAACTATTCTATGATCCTATGATTCTAAGTTAGCCTTATACCCTCCATGTCACAGACTTTCTGCAACCTGTGGCCATGTTATGGCAGCCTTCCTCCTATCCTACAGATTGATAGGGCTTGTCACAAGGCAGTTTACAGTAATCTCCCATGACTGTTATGCTGATGAACTCCAAACTTTACTGAACCTCTGCATGCAAATCCATTTTCCTTCAACTAACCTGTTTTCATTATGTTGTCCAAGCGGTCTAAAATAAGACAAAGCTTGTTTTGACTATGTCAGATTCCTTCAAATATGAAAGATGACAACATTCCTCTAATCTACCTCATAGTATTCCCCAGGAGACCAGCTGTTCAGAAGATTAAATGAGTTGAAGATTAATGTTACTATAGAATGCTACTATAGAACAATAATATTTTTATTTTATAAAGGACTTTTCACCTTCACAATGTAATACAGCTGCTAAATATAAGAGAAGAGGTAAGATTTAGAGACCAGCTCAGGGGATCAGGCATTTGAGGATTTGAGCTCGATTGAAAGTCATTGGCAAAGTGAGAAGGTCAATGCAGCAAGTCATTTAACCTCCCTGTGCTTTAATCTGTCTACAGATATAATAGTAAATTTGCTATTTTTGTAGAGTAATGTGAGGCCCTGACATGAAAAGAGTTACATAAGTGAAAATGATAATATATATAAATGAAATGTACCTAGATTCTCATTCTTTCAGAAATGCCATTATTATTGTGATTGTTTTATTGCAGTTTCTATCATTCACGTGGGTACTCAAAGCTGCTGACTGATTTTTCTCAAAGGCAAGCACATAAAAAAAAATAATTATTGTGTCTTTGAAATCAGAAGTCAGCTTTTTAGCCTTGCTGTCAACACTCAGCTCCCTTTTGCCCTTGCTAGGGACAAAAAGCCCCTTAGATTCTGTGTTAATTAGTTCAAAAGTGCCTCAGACAAATGAAAAGTGAGGCTGTTTATGCTCCTGTTTTTACTATCCTCCTTTCCATCCTTTTAGCAAATGCTTAAGGTTCATTGTAGTCACTCACCAATACTTAATTTTATATCATTTATTATATAATCACCTGACATCAAATAAAAGTAACCTAGAGAAAATAACAAATGTTATTTTTCAATCTTAATATTCCACCTGTTTACCTGAGTTCATATTAAATGAGCCTTTTTCTTAATTTTATAAGGACAGGTAAAACCTCAACTTCTGAAGAGTTAGCAGCACTTGTTAATGGTTTAGCAGCTTTATTTATTAGTTTAAATGCATTAGCAGTTACAATAAGAGGTTACACTCCAGCTTTTTGCAGCTTTGAAGATTCAGCTGGTCACTCTAATGCTAGACCCAAATGAGAAATTTGCAATAGAGACATTTGGAAAACAAGCACATGATAATAAAAACAAGTACATGATAATGAATATGGACACTCACCTGATACATGTAAGTTGTGTTTGCTCCCACATACTTTGCACCATAGAGTTTTCCATCAGGCCATTTCACTTGGACAACCTCTCCCTCTGCAGGTGGGCCCAGCCTTAGGCAATCTCTGCTCTATTTACAAAGAGGGATAGAGTCTCAAATCAGTGAGTGAGCCATCACACTAAAATTACCAGTAAGCTGCTTTTTACAACTCCGTGTTTCAAGTTTTATACTCCTGCTAATGGGCTAACAGAAGACACTGTTAGCCTTTATGAAAATGAAACACTGACCAAAGAAACATTCTCTTTACAGCTTGATGCTGCATTGGCAAGGCAACATATGCACAAATCAGATAGCTATCAGTAACTGTGACAGACTTCCCTCAAAATTAATTTCCATCACAAACTGAAAATAAAGATCACTAAATTGGAATTGCATATGTGCAACACTTTCTCTTTTACATATTCAAGTAACTCATGCTTTGTTAACCACAGCACATTTTTTTTGCTAGATGCTAACTGCTGACTGAAACATAATCTGATGGATCAAACTATAAATTGTGAGAATGCCAATGGATTCTTTGTTTAGCTGATGGAGAAACGTTGAAAGAATCCAAATGCTTACAAGAAAGAATTAGGCAGGATTTTTTTTTTTTTTCCAGAAGATATAAACAGTTTTTTTCTTGTACTTTGGCGATATTCTGTGCCTGACTTGCTAAGCATGTCAGAGCAGCACAGTTTATGCTAGTTGCAACATATCCTTGCTAGGGTTTCCTTTGCCCCATATGGCCTAGTATGACATAATTACTCATTTACAGAGCACACTGACCATACAACCATAAGAACAGCTGTCCATACGAGCAAATACATGCAGGACCAGAAAAAGATCACTTCAGGTCTGCACTCACCAATTCTTTGGAAGCTCTCTCTGCCAAATACTCATTCTCACAAAGGCATCTATATTTCTGACAGACTACATCACAAGACTGGTCATGTAAATTAGCAATAATACGGTAGTATTCTCCTAGGTGTGAGAGAACTTACTGGTGACCATGTCACCTGAGGTCACTGCTAAGAGGTGTAGACTGGGAAGAGAACAGATAAAGCAAAGCATTCAGGTACAAGTAATCAGTGACAATGCCCTGCAGGACCCGGTATTACCTCATGTTAATGAAATACTATAACCATTTTCAAACTCTCATAGAGCAATTTATGAAAATACTGTATTTTTGAGTTCAACAGCCCACTTCTAACAGAGGTCAACAATCATCATGAGAAAGAACTTAAAATGTGGGAGCAAAAATGCACCAAAGATCCTTACTGCGATATTATCTTGTTAGAATATCATGCTACCCAAATCCTGGCTTCATAAACTATTTTAATCACATGTATCTTAATCCATGAAATTTGATTCAACACTTGAAAGAAGTGAAAAGCTGGAGTTTCACGGAAACACACTTTCCTGCATGACAATACTGTTTCTGTCAATTCTTATGTGTTTGTGTCAAGAGGACAGCTCTAACATACACCCTGCATGTTTGCCTGGCAAAGGTTGCTATGACAGACACAGAAAGATACATCCTTTCAACTTCACCATGTATTTGGGGTAGTAGGTGCCATTACTGTATTACCCTTCATGGTATTTCCAAGAGAGGCAGGGGGATAGGGGAATAGAATGGCTGCTGCCTATTTTCCAACAGTGGAATAATTATGACTTCTCAGGGAACAGGGATTGCTAAATATTTTCAATGTTCTCTCTCCTCAGTGATGACTGTCAGGATGACTGTTTTCCTTTTTGTATTTCTTCCTCTACCTATTTCTTGCTAAAGTGCAAAAAGGAGTCTTGGCTTAGTATCTTGAACCAAACTTTCAAAATGCATCATGGAAGATAGGAAATTTCCTATTAACAATGTCAAACCAAACATTCATTTTCCAAGAACAAAAGCCCAGCATGAATTACTCCCTTTGCACCTTGCACAAAAAAAAAAAAATCTCACAGCTTCTCTAGGATAGCTAATGGAATTGCTCATATGGAAAATTAGAGTTCTCATGCAAATAACTAGACAAATAACAATCCCATTCTTCATGTATCATCTTAATGTCTCAGTCTATGGAACAATGTTTGGGAAACCTGTAATAAATAATTTTTGCTGTTGCTTCTAGAGCTCCTTCCTACCTTTTATTTTCACATTGCATAACCATTTCAGAGACTCTCTTTTTACTGCAAAAATAACTCCCACCATTATCTTCTGGGGAATGATCAGATTTGTTTCATAGACTGACAAAACCGCAAAACTGCAACCTCACTTTTCCCAGTCATATACTGAAAAGTCAAACATCGAGATATGGTAATCCTTCAACATTTCTGTACACCACTCATAAATCTACATCCAGTTTGTAAAACATGTAGATTTCCCATATAATTAACTTCATATATTTTCTCCTTTATACAAATGGAAAAAACTGTGCCTATCACTACTGAAAAGCCGATCCATTTAAGTGTCTATTGTCACATTCCAGATGTTGCACAGCTCAGAACCCCATGTCTGAGCATGGTGAGCTACTGAATGTTGCTCAGGGACATGTCCAGTTGTGCTTGAGTATCTCCAAGGATGAACACTACCACCTCCCTGGGAAACTAGTCCAACATTTGACAATTTACATAGTGAAAAAGGCTCACATAAAGAAAAATTCCATGTGAAGGTGCTTCCTGTATGTCAGTTGCTATCCATTCTTTTCCATACATGTCACTCTGCACGTATCTGCTACTGTATGTCCAGGTCCTTCTTGTAAAAGTGAGCCATAACTGGACAAAGGACCCCAGATATGGTCTCAGCAGTGCTAGGTTTACAACCATGCAAAAAGTTTCTTCTTTGCAGCGGCCAGGTGAAGGGGAACAAACACCGACACGATGTACATTTGCAAAAAGCTCCGTTTATTGCTTCCAAGGCTGCTCTTAATATACTGCTTTAAGCTTCCTTACACGCGATCATGCACTACTTGATTGGCTGCCTCGCTTCGTCCATGAAGTGTTCACGCGCCGCTATTTCTTTTCTGGTTGGCCCTAGGTGTTTGCGTTAGCTTGGCATTATATCCTGTTTTGCGGTTACTGGTATCCCGTTATTGCATTCCTATTTTGCTGATTTCGACATTGCTTCTTCTCCTGACTCGGGGTTATAAATTCATATTCTCACAGCTTGCTGTAGACCTGTCCAACTGTCCATGCTCGACCCCCAACACTTCTTAAAGAAAACTGCAAATAAGAGTAATTCTAAAACTCTTCTTGTTTATTATTACAGGTTTTGGAAACATTAATTCTGGGGTTCATTATATGCATTGAACTAAAATAGTTACCAATCCATTCACAACAGATGTTTGAAAAATACGCTGAAATACTGCAGTTCTCTTATTTTCTATCACTTAGGAATTCTTGGGTACAGCACTACAGATAACGTAGATGGTTTTACTGGTTTTCGGTTCTGATATTCCTTTGTTTTTACCACAAAACAAATTATATTCCTAAGAGGCTTAAAAATACTTTGGTTCTTTAAGGCTGGACAGAGCATTTGAAAGTAACAAATCCAGTTGCATGGCAGAGTGGTGATGGCTGACACAGACTAGGAACATATTTGGAGCCATGATAAGAAAAAAAAGGAAGTCTGCACTTGAGGCCTGCACTTGAATCTAGGAACTGTGAAATGCTGCAAAATAACGTGATTACAGCCACTGACACCTGAAGAACATACCTTAATTTTTTAAAACTTTTCTGGAAAATATGTTCAAATGCTTTCCTAAATTAAGGCTAGAAATTATAGATATTCTGGTCTAGGATGAATTTATGAACCATTGAGACTATTCTCCAAAACTGTCAGAAACAGATGCTTCTTTTTGACAGTGTTTTGCCTGGCAATTATGTTATTAATTCAGCTATTTCAAATTCAACAGTTATTTTCAAAATTATAAGATATAAGAGCCTTTGACTTCTGTGTTTGATCCAAAGAAGCCACACTAAAACCAAATATCTTTAGTCAATTCGGAGGAAATGGAAAACTCTGTGGTACAATCCTTGAAGTCAACATGGCTATATAAGCTCATATTTTCAGCCACTGGTGAAAAGAAGCCTGCAAGTTAAACTGATAGCAGAAAGTATACTGTAGTCTTTCATGTCAAGATTGTAGTAGGAAAGGATGAAATTACTCTGCGGCCACAAATATCAGCCAATGTTAATTTACAGAGTCTCTGGTCTGACAGAAAGCTAGATAGAGTGGACATCTTAGGAAGGAAAATATTCACATGCTCAAAGTAGAATATGTTAATGAAAAACAAGAAGCTTTTGGTTTCAAGTATTTTTCCCCAGTGAGGAAGTCAGCAGTTGAACAAAAAAGATAAAAAAAATCTAGATGCCGCAACTTATTTAGTAACATTTTAAAAAAAAAATCCTCAAAACAAACCCAAACCAGGTTTAATACATGAAAAGCAAAAAGCTCTCAAAAACATGTCTGAATAGTCTGAATTCACAAACTCCCCACCACTTCATTACTCTGAATCTAGCAGCAGTAAATGTTTTCATTAGCTTGTACAATGTTCTGCCTTTCAACAGTCAGCTTAAAGCTCAATGTTTGATCTTTCAGAAGCTTCAACAGAATCATATCCTTCCAAATCCGATTAGGTCTCTGGTGAATGTGTAATGTGATTGGTGAAGAAGGGATCAATTAACTCTTTTAACTTAAAAGTTATGGTCATAAAGTTTAATATTGAATGTAATATTCACAGCACTACCATTGGTCATTGTACGTCAACAATTTGTTTGAAAAAAAAAAAAACACCCACAAATGAGGTCCATATGTCGTCTTTTAGAGGAGGTATACACCCAACAGTAGTTGCATATTTAAAACTTTTCTTAGAAAACAATTATAATCAAATAGAAAAATGTGAATATTTGTCTAACCAAATTAGGGCGCAACTCTGTCAGATCACACGGTTCTTACTGTTTTGATGATGTGATCGATGTGATCCTAGCCTGACTAAAGAGAGCTAGAAGAGTTTTGATGAAGGTTCCTGATTCAATCCTGCTACTTATAGACTAGTATGTCTTGTTTCAAAAACTGTTTTTGCCTCCCACTGTACTTTCCC